AATATATAAATATATTATTTGTTCTTTAATTAAATAAAAACTGTATTAAGAAAGTGTGTTAGACCTAGAAAGTACAAGACCATGAGTTCAAACTCCAGTATAGAAAAAAAGGCTTGGGTCCTGGGGAACAGTACTTACCTTGTTCCCCTTTTATAACCTTTAAGTTTGCATAATGCCTGGCACACATAGTGGTACCAGATGCGTAGAGGAGCTAACAAAAAGTGATACAAGGAGGGAAAAACTGGGAGAGAGCAAGAGGAGGAGTGACACTTTCCAAAAAGAAATGTACTCTTGCTGGGCATCAGTGGCTCATACTTGTAATCCTAGCTACTCAGGAGGATGAGATCTGAGGATCGCATTCAAAGCCAGACTGGGTAGAAAAGTCCGTGAGACTCTTATCTCCAATAAACCACAAGAAAGCCGGAAGTGACACTGGCTCAAGTGGCAGAGTGCTTGCCTTGAGCTGAAGAGCTGAGGGACAGCACCCAGGTCCAGAGTTCGAGCCCCATGACTGTCGGGAGCCAAAAGTTGAGTCTCTCAACATAATAGGCTTGACTATCTCACTGGAACATCTTGAGGCTGAGTTTACAGAATCCTACCTTCATCCTGCCCTAAGTAAACATCCTGCAACTGCTAAAGACCACCCTTTCCCCCTGCCCTAAGCAAACATCCTGCACTGCTATGGCCAATGAAAAAGCTTCCTTAACGGCCAATGAAAAAGCTTCCTTATTCCAAGCATATAAATACCCCTGTGTGAAAAATAAAAATTTGCAGCTTGATCAGAACCCTTGTCTTGCTGTCATTCTTCGTGTCTCTTGTCCCTTCATTCCTTCTAGTTTAGGTTCACTGCCCTCGTTGACGTCCTGCCGGTTGGGACACATGACCAACCAAAAAAAGAAAAGAAAAGAAATGTAATCTTTACCTGACTTATATAACTGCAATCTCTTTATACATCACTTTTATAATAACAATTAAAATTTATTTTAAGAATGAAGTTAAGCAAGTGCATGAGTGAGATTTCTGGATGTGAAGGGTACAAAGTGATATAGATAAGAATATAAAGAAAATGCTACCAGGCATAAGGAGAAAGAGGCCACATCCAGTTGGAAAGACCAAAAATGACTTCAATCACAAGTTGATACCTCAAGTTGGGCCTGGTGGTATATACCTGTAATCCTAACACTTGTGAGGCTGAGGCAAGTGAACTGTGAGTTCAAGGAAGGCCTAGACTATCTGGAGAACCTCTCCCCTGTTCTGGAGAATGTATCCAACTTGACAAGTTAGGGTGAAAGAGATGTTGCAGGCATTTTATTACAGCAGCCAAATGGACTGAGACAGACCAAGTTGGTGACAAGATCCTCTTTGCACTCACATGCCCCACATTGTGTCCTGTGCAGAGCTCCTCTGTAAGGCCAGGGTATTTGTATTGACTACTACTATAGTCTCAGCTCCTAGAAGAGTGCCTCATACTAGAGGCTTTTTGAGTGCTTGTTGGATGGACAGGAAAAAAGGAAGGAAACAGGAAGCATTGAAAAAGCCTTCTCTTTTCTGTCTCAGGAGGGGTTAGTGAGGAAGGAGGCCTGGAACTTGGCAGCCATCTCAGGACCACACTAGAAATAGTGAAGAAGACAGATGAGTAAAATCTGGACTTCCTTGATGGGCAGACAATTGAGGTAATGCCAATAAGGTAAGGTGGGAGGAGAGAAATGGTTGTTAAGAAGGAATTTGGTTTTCAAGTGGCCCCTGGGGTCATTGGTGCTCCAGTATACTCCTATCACACAGACAATGGAGCTTGGTGCTATACAAGGGGCCATCTTGCCACCACCTAAATGGAGCATCTTCATCAATGAAGTCATATAAAGGAAGTAGAAACAAGCATAAAATGTAATCAATAAATAATTCCCTCTCTGCCCCCTACCCCCTGCCTCCAAACCTGCTTTTTAAAACTTGTGCTGTTTCTATGTTGGCAGGGCTGTGGGGGAAGGGAACCCTATTGCACTGCTGGTGGGAAAATAAAAATAGTACAACCATGCTGGACAGCAGTCTGGAGATTCCTCAAAAAACTAAACATAGATCTTCCCTACGACCCAGCCATGCCACTCCTGGGCATCTACCCAGAACATCACAAGCCAGGATACATCACAAGCCAGGATACTGTAAAGACACTTGACATCCATGCTCACTGCTGTGCTATTCATAATAGCCAAATTGTAGAAACAGCCTAGATGCCCTACAATAGATGAGTGGATCCAAAAAATGTGGCACCCACACACAATGGAATTTTACAGCCATTTTACAGTCATTTGCAGGGAAATAGATAGACCTAGAACAACTCATGTTAAGTGAGGTAAGACAAGCTCAAAGAGATGCACTGCACATGCTTTCTCCCATTTGTAGAAGGCAGATCTAATATACACTGGAACGTGGTAAATTATACAGGAATCTACGCATTCACACACAGTGAAACCAAAGGAGGATATTCTTAGGAGAGGAACACAAAGGTGCAATGCCTATGTGCATCTGAACATATAAAATAATAGTTATTAAAATGAACTCTAGGAAGTGGAAACAAGGGTGATTTTTTTATTGCTGTTTTCTTTTTGTCTTGTTTGTTCATTTATCTGTCTTTGGGAGGGCACAGAAGGGGTAGAGAAATGGAGGAACAAAGAGTGAACAAATACAGCAATGCAATTCACTAGACACAATGTTGAAAATGAACTACACAACTTTTTTGTGGGGATAAGAGAGAAAAACCGGGAGAGAGTGATGGAAGGGGTGACATTGTCCAATCATGTGTTCTCATTACCTGACTTATGTAACTGCAACCCCTCTGTTTATCACCTTTATAATAACCATTTTTCAAAAGGGGGAAAAACTTGTGCTATTTCTAAAAAGTATACTGTAATTGCCCCAAAAGAAAAGAATTTTTTTTTCCAACAGCAGTTTCTCACAGAGACTCATAGAAATCACCAGGCAAGCATCCAAACACTTGGGGACACAAATTAGGAGATCAACAAGAATGGTACCAACCTAGTCCTATATCTCAGAGTTGTTGAGAAAAGCTGCTCAAGCTGCTTTGTCATCCACCTGCCATTGATACCTGCCTCACTTTCATCCCCTGAGAGAGAAGCTTTGCTACTAACAGTTACACTAGAAAGCCATCTTCAGGGAAGCAATGGAAAAACTAGTAACCCAGGAAGAAAGAGAATAGTAATCCAAGGGTGTGTTCTAGAACTGATGACACCTGTGAGCCCTTGGAGCTCAAGCCCAGTATATTGACAAATCAATTTACTGCTGATCTACATGGAGAAAGGAAACTTATCCACAGGGTCTTGTCCCCCAGTGCTCACAGGCTGGTCCAGAAAAGCTAACCCTCTCATAGTTCCTGATTTGTAAGTGTCCCCAGGTCCCATGAGGGTAAGAGAAAGCAACCCAGTATAGAAAAATGATGTTAAGATGAGCCAGTTTCAGAGTACTCATGCACATGCACACATGCGTGTGAGCGCGTGCGCACGCACACACACACACACACACACCACTATAGTAATGGGAAAAGCAAAAAGGAGACAGAGAAGACTTAAGATGGACAGACTCCCCATGGGCCATGGGTCTCCCATTTACTTCTCTGAGATGAATGAGCTCAGTGTAGGTAGAATCCTGGACCAGTCATCTGTGTCAAGGAGCCAGCAGGAGTTCCCTCTGAAGAAGAATCTGGAGTCCTGTTTCTAACATTCCTAAGTGGGATGTGTCACATGAATGACCCCAAACAACAGTGGTGTAGGCAAGGACACAGAGGCTATGGTGTGGCCATGTCTTATCCTGACCCTCTATAGAGGCTCGGGTCAACTCAGTAAAACAAATGCTGATGCCAGTGTTTTCTCAGAAGTAAGAATGGAGTAGAAAAGTGCTCAGAGGGAATTAAGAACAATTTAAGGCTAGTTTCCAGGACTGGAGGGGCATCAAAGGCATCTATTATGAGTTGGTTTGAGAGTTTGGAAAGAGCAAAAAAATTCTGAACCAGACCTCTTGATTTGGATCCTGGCCCTGAAACTCTAATGCTCTAGATGTTTGCAACATTAGTCTCTGTAAAACTCAGTTGCCTAGCCAGGCACCAACAGCTCACACCTGTAATCCTAGCTACTCAGGAGGGCTGAGATCTAAAGATTATGGCTCAAAGCCTACCTGGGCAGGAAAGTCCATGAGACTAAGTCCAATTAGCCACCAAAAAAACAAAAGTGGAGCTGGGGCTCAAGTGGTAGAGCACCAGTCTTAAGTAAAATAGCTAAGGAACAATACCAAGCCCTGAGTTCAAGCCCCAGTACCAGCACATGCACAAGCATGCACACACACATGTGTGCACACGCGCGCACACATACGCACACACACAATTTTAATAAAAAATACAAATGCTGATTACTGGGGTTTGAACGCAGGGCCTCAAGTTTGCTAAGCAGGTGCTCCACTAACTTGATGTGGTCTCCCCATGTCACCTGGGCTGACCTCGAACTCATGGGCTCAGGCCATCTTCCTACCTCAGGCTTCAGAGCAGTGGTGAGGACAGGGGTATGCCACCATATCCCGCCAAGAGTTCGCTTTTATAAGGCAGAAGTGTGGTGCCTGGAAAGGTCCTCAGCACACAGCCTGAGTGGTCAAAAAGCTCATTAGGCTCTGAATCAAAGCATCCCTGCAGATGAGCCAAATAGCCCTTTGTTCAATTACTCAACGTGGAAAAGGTAATCTTGATCAGCTCAGTGCTAGGCAGCCTCAGATAAGAGTTCCCACTCCCCATCTTCCCAGCATCTACTGCTAGGCCACTCTGCTATGGGAATATCAGTGTAGGTAGCTCTTTCTTAGGTAAAAGGCGTGGGGGGGGGTGGTCCTGAGGCCATTGACTCCCATCATGGGGTCTTTCTTGTTCACCTGGTCCCACACTGAGGCCTGTCCCAGGTTCGTGGTGTGCTTTGATGCAAAAAATGAATTCTATGCTCCTCATGATTACTTTTTATTCTTTGGTATTCTCTCTATGGGCACTGTTTCCTTGTGCTTGTTTCCATAGCAACAAAGAAAAAGGCACAAAGGCACCATCACAAAGAAGGTACATGTTGTTTGTTTGCTCTCACATCCTCAGGAGGCTGAAGGCTGTGGTTAGCAGGAGTCACGACTTCCCACATTGTAAACTACTCACAACAGAGCCAAGTGGCTGACTCCAGTCTTACTGAATAAGGAAAGCCGGCCAAGGATGAATCTCAGCTTATAGAGTTTCCTGACGCCACTGGCAAAGGCAGGAAGCAAGTCATCAGAGATAGGGCTAAGGTGGGAATCCTGCTGAGAGATGGCTCATCCAGTCAGTCTTCTGCAGCTCCTGCCTGTGCAGGTCAGGGGCAGTAAGTAGACAGTTCATCGGGGCTGATCATGCAGCTTCTTATTCGGGCAAGGAAGATTATCTTCTGAAACTTGAGATTTGCTTTCAAGGACCTGTCGGATCCTCTGCATGCCTAAGAAAGGGAAATGAGGGACCCTCAGCACTGATGGCTAGGCAAGGGGGTGGGATGAGCAAACCCAGGCTGTTGGAACCCCTAGAGATGGGGTAGCCCAAAGGATACAGTTGTGGGGCAGAGGGTGGGGGTGGAGATGGAGGCTGCTCACCCAAGCGAAGCCGTTGGGCCTTATCTGAGAAGATCACTCGGAACCAGCCGGGCTCTTGACACTCAAAGGCTTTGCCCAAGGACAGAAGTACTTTGTTATCCAAAAATCGGCGCCAGAGTAGCATTTCCTCCTCAAAGGTGGCCATGTGAAGGTACTGCGAGGGCAGAAAGAGGCCTGGGATGAAGAGCCCTCCATAGCCCCGCCCCTGTGCATGGAGGCCTGACACCTGCTCCCTACCCACACCCCCACCTACATTACCTTTCTCAAGTCAATCCAGATAAAGAAGCCTGCCCCACGACTCAAGAAGGGAATCCCCAGGGCCTTGAGCTCTTCTGAGACATAGGTGTGGGCTGCCTTGAGGCGGGCATGGTTTTCTGGCAGGTACACATGGCTGATCCAGTCTGGGTGAAAGAGAAGCCAAAAGATAAATCTCCCACTGATCTTCCACTCGATCCTACCGGTCTAAATGCCACCAAGCAAAAGTCACAAGTGCCAGAACTATGTAAGTCCCTCTATCTGGCTTGCTGTGGGGAGGGAGTGCCAGGAAACAGTGAAAAGGATATGTGAATTCAATGTTCAATATCTTTTTTGTGTGTGCAGGTACTGGGGCTTGAACTTGGAGCCTGGGCACTGTCCTTGAGGTTTTGTGCTTAAGGCTAGCACTCTACCACTGAGCCACAGCTCCCCTTCTAGCTTTTTGGTACTTAATTGGAGATCAGTCTCACAGACTTTCCTATCCTGGCTGGCAGAAGCACAATCCTCAGATCTCAGCCCTCCTGAGTAGCTAGGTTTGCAGGAATAAGTCACCAGCACTAAACTGTTGTTCAGTATCTTTAATCCAGATGCAGTCCTGATGGCATCCAGGTCTTCCTGCCCTCTGTACCCATAGTACCAAGTCCCTAGGAATATAGCACCTAATCAAAGGTATATCCAGTTATAAAATAATGGTTTAGAATCACACAAACCAAGGTCCAGATCCAAGTAGGGCCAACTGACAGGGAGGGGGCAGGGGCTTGAACAACTTCACCTCCCTGAACCTCAATATTTTTATTGACTTTCCAGGAAGGGATACACAGGATTCTGTGGATTATATTACGTATACGTATGTGTAAGCATCACCACAGTCAGGATTCTGAATGCTTCCATCCCCTAGAGAACATTTTCAGGCCACTCACAGTCTCATCAGCTTCCATACAAACCCCATCTATTGTTTGTTTGTTGTTATTATTGCTTTGCCAGTCCTGGGGCTTAACCTTAGGACCTGGGCACTGTCCCTGAGCTGCTTTTGCTCAAAGCTAGTGTTCTACCACTTGAGCCACAGCACCACTTCCAGCTTTTTCTGTTTATGTGGTACTGAGGAATCAAACCCAGGGTTTCATGCATGCTCAGCAAGCACTCTACCACGGAGCCATACTTCGAGCCTCCCAGTACTATAGTTTTAAAAAATAAAATTGTATGGCATGCTATCTCTTTTTTTTTGGTCCGGTCGTGGGGCCTGAACTCTGGGCCTGGGTGCTGTCCCTCAGCTCTTCAGCTCAAGGCTAGCACTCTACCACTTGAGCCACAGTGCCACTTCCGTTTTTTTTTTCTTTTTTGCTTATATGGTGCTGAGGAATCGAACCCAGGGCCTCATGCATGCAAGGCAAGTGCTCTACCACTGAGCCACCTTCCCAGCCCGGCATACTATCTCTTTAGTCTAGCTTTTTCTCACCAGTGTCATGCCTTTGAGGTGGACGTAGGCCACCATGGACTTCACCACAGAGCAGGATTCCACACTGTGGATTTGCCACCGTCTGTTGTATATTCACTCATCTATGGAGGGACCTTAGGGCCATTTCCATGTAAAGGTTTTTATGTAACCATCAGGGTCAATGGCTGCAAGTAGGATTGATTATTGGATTTGGTAAGTATGTGGAGTTTATTGTTTGGCTTTGGTTTGTTTTTGCGGTGGTAGGGATTGATCCTAATACGCTATGCGTGCTGGGGAAATGTTCTACCCACTGAGTTCTAGCCTCAGCCCTGTGCATTTGACTTTATAAGAAACCTCCAAAGAGTTTTCCAAGTGGAAGAAGCATCTTACAATCCCATCAGCAATGTAGGTGAGCCCCAGTTGCTTCACTCCTTGCCAATATTCAAAGTTCTCCTTGTTTCTAAAAAAAATGTTTTTTCTTGCTATTATAGTAGGTATGCAGTATCTGGCCCTCATTTTCCTCATCTGGAAAGTAATGGAGAATATGCAAGAATTCTTGCTTGTTAGGAACATACATCTACGAGGCTCAACAAATAGCAACAACACATGAGCATCGCCATCTAAATTCTCTCTAGTATCCTGGGAACAGACTAGATGGGTAAAGGCAGAGAGAATGCCCGTATAGCCATTTTCTCTTAGTAGTTTCAATTTTCAAAGTACTCATAGCTAGGAAATAATAATGAATTCACACTTTACACCTTGAGATGGTGCTCAGGCTGGCCTTGAACTCTTGAACTCAAGTCATCATCCTGTCTCAGCCGCTTAAGTACCCAGGACTACAAGCACCATCACTGAACCTGGCCAGTGATTTCACATTGGCCAAGTGCCTATCACCAGGTACAGTAGCACTCAACTCAATTACAAATCCCATTTGATCAGACAGGTAACATTAGGATTCCTATTTTACAGAATAAAAAAAAAGAGCTTCAAGGAGGTTGAAGTCATGTGCCACACAGCCGGGAAGTGATTGGGTAGAGTATGGACTCAGACATAGAAGGATTAAATTCTTCTTATGGGAGAAGTATCATAGCCCTTGGCTATGACGATGGGAACCCATCGTCCTCTTTCAAATCACCAGGCCCAGATAGTCACCACGATCCTGGAGCAACCGTGCCATCTGGTACTGCACCAGGCCACTGAGACCATGATAGCGGCAGAGGGAAGCCACAGAAGTAGCCACGTGCTGGTTTTCTGTGTACAGAGTACCAAAGCGCATCCCAGACATGCCGAAGTCCTGCAGAAATAAAGCACCTTAGCCATTGCCAGGCCTTCAGGGAGGAAGCCAGTTCCACCCACCTGACTACCCCCACCTACCTCCCTCACATTCTCAGACCAGCCAGAAACTCACCTTGCTTGTCGCCCACATCACATGGGTCCTCTGGGGGTCTGGCAGCCTGCAGAAAGCACAGCGTGGGAAGAGAGGCAACAATGAACCTCAGCAGCAAATACATTTTGCTTGAACAAATGAGGGCGTGGAGGGGTAAATCTGGTTTTTGGATTGAGCCCTGTTCTCATCTCCTTGAATCAAGGGTCAACAAACAGCCTGCAAGCCAAATCTAGCCTGCTGGGTTGTTATTTTTTTGTAAATCAATGTTTATTAGAAGGCAGACAAGCTCACTGGTTTGCACAGTGTCCTTGGCAGAATTGAGTAAAAGACCAATGGCCAATTTTGGCAGGACTAGAAATAATGGTTCCACATAGGAAGGGTCTATATGTACCTTGTGCACTGTCATATCACCAATACTGGGCACAATGCCTGGCACAGATGCTCAATACATATTTTCCCCATAATGAAGCAATGATCATGTACAGTCACTCTTTCCTCTGGGTCTCACTTTCCTAATGCAAACTAATGGAAGTGGCACTACATGCACCTTCTGCTTTGCAGAGCTTTGTGAGGAACAGATGGGAGAACCAGAGAACAGTGCTCAGAGGAACTGATATTTTGAATCCCTGAAGGTCAAGTTTGCAGACTTTACCCATGATCTGGTTCAAGTGTTGCCGGAGGCATATTGGTTACAAATTCTCTGCTCAAACTAAACTTAAAGAAAAAGCCTACTTAAAGTACTCAGCACATGGTAGAGCCTCATAAATAAGGAAGTGGCGCTGTGGCTCAAAGTAGTAGAGCACTAGCCTGAGCAAAAGAACTCAGGGACAGCGCCCAAACTCTGAGTTCAAGCCCCACAACCAACAACAACAACAACAACAAAAAGTACATAAATGAATGACTAGATGAATGAATAAAAATCAGGCTATTCTGAGGCTGATGGTAGTGGTGCACACCTATAATCCCAGTTACTTGGGAGGAAGAGTTAGGAGGATCATGGTCTGAAACTAGCTCTGGGACAAAAGCACAAAAGACCCTAAGCTGAAAAGCCAACAAAAAACAAGTGGTAGAGTATCTGCCTATCAAGTGTGAAGTACAACTCTGATCCCCAGTACGACTCCAAACAAAACAAAACAGTTACTCCTGAAGAAGAAGGAATTAAGGAGGCCAATCTTCCTCCTGGCCCCATGGAGCTCCTAACTCCACGGAAGCATCTGAAAACCCCTGATGGAGCCCAACTCTCCCACCTCTTGCTTCAGCCTTCAGAAGACAAGTGGGTCTATTGTCAAAGCAATTGCGATGAGTGAAGTCAGAGACACCAGATCCAGCAGTACCCAGGGACCTTACCTTTCCAGGCTTAAGACACTTCGGTACTCAAGTGATTCTTCAAACACAGACAGCATATAGACCTCATCCACAATCACGTGTAGCTCATGCCTGGCATAGAGAGAAAAAAGCTTGATCTGTAGGCCTAGTGTGTCCCCCAAAGTGGGTGGTAGTATGCCAGAAACCCAGAAAGGGAAGTGGAGCTGTGGCTCAAAGTGGTAGAGTACTAGCCTTGAGCTAAAAGAGCTGAGACAATGCCCAGGCCCTGAGTTCCAGCCCCATGACTGAAAAAAAAAAAATAGCTGGGCGCCAGTGGCTCACACCTGTAATCCTAGTTACTCAGGAGGCTGAGAATCAAGGTTCAAAGCCAGCCTGGGCAGGAAAGTTCATGAGACTCTTATCTCCAATGAACTACTCAGAAAAAGCCAGAAGTAGTGTTATGGCTCAAGTGGTAGAACACTAGCCTTAAGCACAAAAAGGCTCAGAGACAGAGGCCAGGCCTTGAGTTCAAGCCCTAGGACCAGCAATCAAACAATGACAAAAACCCAAAAAGACCAGTCCAGCCCAGTGTTACCAAAGTTGGGTTTTCCAAGAACATTCTCCTTTAGTCCATTGTTCAAACAAACCAGAAACTGCATATAGAAAGAATAGTGGCTCTTTGAAGTGTAGGGGAAAGGCAGGACCCTCAGGTTCCTCCATGGAGGGGCACATTTAAACACCAGGGCTGGAGTCTAATGGACCCAGATTCAAGTCTGAGCCTATCTCTGACCTGACCAAGCTAAGATTCAATCAAATAGGGATAATCAACCATGTCTATTCTTGATGAGGTCATTGTAAAGAGTATCAGAGATAATCAGATTATCAGTTCTGGGAGATCTAAAGTACTCAGCATGTTCCTAGAGTACAATAAATGATAGCTATGGTTATAAAATGGAAAGTGGAAGAGATATCCCATACACACCTCTTCCCCCCAAAATGGTACAGAAACTTATACCAATACCCTGTTAGAGCCCTGTGTGCCCAGATGATTTGTGGGGTACAGAGGGGTGGAAGCTTACCTTTTAGCAAATTCCAAGAACTCCTGTAGCTCTCTGGGGGAATAGATGTCACCCAGAGGATTCTGGGGGTTGATAAGGATAAGGCCTTTGACCTTCACACCCTGAAAGCATCCAAAGGGCCAATCTCAGATTCTCCCCAGGGCCAAAGCTACACAGTCCCACTAGGAGGTGCTGATCACTGGTGATTCCAAGGGAAAACATGATTGGGGCGCGTTCATAAGCCATCATAAAGCAACAAGTACACAGTATTACATCCACAGTGTTGTGCCCATTATGAAAAGAAAACCAATACAGAGAACAGGGAAATGGGCCCAAATGCTGCAGAGGCTGCCTGTTGGAAGAATTATGGATAGTAGATTTTTTTGTTTTTTGTTTTTACTTTCAAAATTACTATAGTAAGCCAGGCACTGGTAGCTCACACCTGTAATCCTAGCTGAAAAGACTGAGATCTAATAGTCACTGTTAAAAGCCAGCTCAGGTAGGAAAGTCCATGCAACTCTTATCTCCAATTAACCAGCAAAAATCCAGAAGTGGAGCTATGGCTCCAGTGGTAGAGTGTCAGCCTTCAGAGAAAAAGCTAAGGGATAGCACCCGGACCCTGAGTTCAAACTCCACTACTGGCATACTCACAAAAATATTTTACTATAGTAAACATATAACAACTTAAATGAGGCTGGGAAGGTGGCTCAGTGGTAGAGCACTTGCCTTGCATGCCTGAGGCCCTGCGTTCGATTCCTCAGCACCACATAAGCAAAAAAAAAAAAAAGCCAGAAGTGGCGCTGTGGCTCACGTGGTAGAGTGCTAGCCTTGAGCTGAAGAGCTGAGGGACAGCGCCCAGGCCCAGAGTT